TTTTGCAAAATAGTTCAATTTCTGGCTAAAAACAAACTAAAACGCTCAGAAATTGACAAAATAATGTACTTTTTGACCCATTTTAGCGATTTTTTACCTTGTTGAGTGAAATATCACTTAGAAAAAAAAACTATCTCTTGATTTTTCCATTTGTCTTTGAGAAAATTTAGCATTTGAGTTTCTGCATGGTTAAAAAAACGTGCAAAATGTTCAAAAAAAAATACAAAATAACAGTGTCATCATTTTTGGCAATAATTAAAAAATTAAATGAAATAAGTTAATTTTACTAACATTTGGGCGATATTTACGTTTTTACTTAAAAAACATGCTAAAACACTTGATAAAGACCAAAATAATGACTTAATTTAATGTTTTTTGGGTTTGTTTTAGCAAAATCTTACAATTAACATCATTTTTGACCATATTTTGTATTTTTGTCTTTCAGTCAGTTTAAGCAAAAAATTGAATGCATTTTAAAAACGTGCTGAAACACTCTAAAAATGCAAAAATAACACTAGTTTTGGCCTAATTTGATAAATTTTCGGTTTGTTTTTAACGAAATTTTGCAAAATTGTGTTGTTTCTGGCTAAAAACATACTAAAACGCTCAGAAATTGACAAAATAATGTACTTTTTCATCCATTTTAGGGATTTTTTTACCCTGTTGAGTGAAATATCATTTAGAAAAACGAAATTTCAACATGTTTTTGAGAAAATTCAGCGTTGAGTTTTTGCGTGCAAAATGCTCAAAAAATGCAAAAAACTTGTGTCATCATTTTTGACTGAATTTAATTAAAACAACAAATTAAAAATTTTAATTTTCGTAACATTTGGACGAAACTCGAACTGCGTTTCTAAAAAATAAGAAATCGTCACAAATTAGAATTTTTACAAAACTAGGATAAAAATCACCAAATGTGTTGAAATTTTACCCGACCTGGCAACACTGTACAGATTTATCAATAGCAGCTTTAGGAAAATTACGTTTTTCGCATTTGTAACTAGAATTTGACACAATTAACCTAAAAATTTTTGACAACAGTTAGCGACATAGCCAACCTAACTAACTAATATCCCTAAATCCTAGTAATTTCTTGTAGCGACTTTAAATTAATGATCTTTTAACTTGTTTTGTGCAGGTTGAAGGGAGCAGACCTCCCCGTCACTGTCAACAAGACGATTTCGTGCTCCCTCGGTGGAAAAAAACGCCTAATTGCCATCAATGTCACTTCCGAGGTGCAAAGCCCCACATTTAGGAAAGACGGGAATAACATTGCGTATTTGTTACCGACGAGTTTCGCCGTTGTGGAGAACGGCCGTGATTTTATCAAGCATTAATTCGTGCCTTTTTTACAAATTAATTGTTCAGATTTATATACTATACAACGAATTTGTTGCTTTTTATGTACTTAAATGTGCGATCTTTGAGATCATGTGTGTTGTCATCATCAGATTGAAATTTTATTATTAATTGTCGTGTTGCGTAGTTTTATGGATTTATATTATTGTTAATCATTCCACGATGGCATTTTGTTGAATCATTATTCTCTACTAAAGTATTTTTCGTCTGGTATTATTATGTGAAAGTGATTGTTGTATTTATTTGTATATACAAGTGCCATTTTTGTTTATATTTTTGTATCGATTTTGGATACATAGTCAAGCTAAAATACGTGCCTTAATTAAAGAAATTAACAAACTTTCTGCGTTTTATTTTGCTTATTTTTGACGGAATTCTCAAAATGATTGCGTTTCTGACTGAAAAACGAGTCAAAATGCTCGAGAATCGCAGAAAACAATAACAATAATGGTTTTGAAGTTATTTTCTGACTAAAAAACATGCTAAAATACTTGAAAAATAATAAAACTAATGTAATTTTTACTCAATTGGGTGTTTTTGGGGGTTATTTTTTCCAAAATAAAAAAAACGGGTTAAAAAGCTAGAAGGAACCAAAAATTGTGCAATTTTTAACAAGAAGAAAAGCGATTTTTGGGTTAATTGAATGTTCTTTGGGCTTATTTCTTTACAAAACAAATGCGTTTCTGGCTAAAAAACTGTACTAAAACTCTCAAACAGGCAAAATAATGTAACTTTCAACCGAAATGGGGTTTTTTGAGTTTATTTTTGAAATAATTCATAAAAATAATTCATTTTCTGACTACTAAAATCATGACAAAACGCTCAAGAATAATGAATTTTTTACCGAATGGAGTGATTTTGTTGGCATTTTTAACGTAATTCTGCAAAATAATTGCGTTTCTGTTCGAAAATGGAAAAACAGTAATTTTTTACTTAATTTGTGTTAATTTTCGAAAATTTTTAATATCATTGAGTAAATTTTCGGCTTATTTTTGACGTAATTCTGCAAAATAATTGCGCGTCTGACTAAAGAATGTCGAAAAATACAAAAAAATTAATTAAGCCTTTTGGATAATTTTTGACTAAATGAAGTGTTTTTTGAGCTAATTTTTTTCAAAAATAATTAAAATAAAAGCTAAAACGCTCGTAAAACGAAAAAAATAAAATAACTTTAGACGCAATTATATCGTTTTTGGACATACCTTTCGCAAAATAAATAAGTTGAAACGCCCAAAAAATGCAAAAAAAACTATTTTTTTCCCGAATTGGACGATTTTTGGGTTTATTTTTCAAATAATTATGCAAAATAATTCAGTTTCTGTCTGAAAAACATGCTAAAACGCTGAACAAAGGCAAAAATAATGTAATTTTCAACAAATTGAACAGTTTTTCAACTTATTTTCTCGTAATTCTGCAAAATATTTGCACGCTTAAGTAAAAACGTTCTACGCTCCAAAAGTAAAAAAAGTAATTTTGACTTAATTAGATGTTTTTTGGATTATTTGTCCTTATTTTTGTCAAAGTAAGTGAGTTTCTGTCCAAAAACCGTACTAAAACGTTTAAAAAAAGCAAAATAATGTAATTTTTGATCAAATAAATAAAAGGTTTTTGGATTTATGTAAATAATTCTGCAAAATATTCCATTTCTAGATGAAATTTTGAGCTAATTGAATGTTTTTTTTGGCTTATTTTTGACGTAATTTTGCCCAATAAGTATAATTGTTTTTCTGGCTGAAAAAATAATGAAATTTTCAACACAATTAAAAGGTTTTTTGGTTTATTGTTAACGTAATTTTGCAAAATAAATGCATTATTGACCGAAAGACGTTCAAAAAAGGTAATCTTTGAAATAACACTCCAAATAGATTCAGTTTCTAGCTAAAAAATATGTAAAAAATCTCGAAAAAGGCAAAATGATGTAATTTTTGACAGAAAGGAGTCGTTTTGGGACTTATTTTTGACATAATTTTGCCTAATAATTTCTTTTCTGGCTGAAAAATAAGCTAACAGCCTTTGAAAAATGCAAAAATAATGAAATTTTCGACACAATTAAATGGGTTTTTGGTTTATTGTTAACGTACTTAGTTTTGCAAAATAAACGTATTATTGGCCGTAAACCGATCAAAAAAGACAAAAACAATACAATTTCTGAAATAATTTTGCAAAATAATTTAGTTTCTGGCTGGAAAACGTGCTAAAACTCTAAAAAAAGCCAAATTTTCGACCTAATTAAATGTTTTCTCGACGTATTTTTAACGTAATTTTGCATTTTCGGTTAAAAAAACAACGCAAATGCAATTCTGCAAAATAATTGCGTTTCTAGCAGAAAAAATCTTAAAAAGACAAAAACGATGTAATTTTTGACATAATGTGGTGGTTTTTTTGACTTATTTTTGACATAATTTTAGTTAAAACGGTATAAAAACAAAAACACCAATTTGTGCGTTTTACGGGTTGCATATCATACGTTTTAAGTGAAAAACTGTAATAACGAGAATTTATTATCGTCAAAGCTGCAATTTAAAAATAATTTGAAGGCATTTCTGAATCAATTTCATGACTAGAATCTTGCAATAACACGAGACAATTTCATTTTAATAAATAATTTTTACATTTAATAAAATTTTGATTTTTTTTGCAAAACAATTAAAAAAGTGTGTCAGGTATTTGTTTGTTTGGTAAAAGTTGCAGCCTCTTTGCGTCTTGTGCCCCCAATAAGCCCGCAAGTGAGCACTTTTCACACCAAAGATAAACAAAGATTGTGTTATCTTATCGCGTTTTCCTGGATAAGATAAGGAAAAGTTAAACAGAAAATTGTATAACAATCCACTGAAGTGAATGTAGGACTCGGTCCAAGACCAAAAATTTTCCGAAGAGGAAAGCCGAGAAAATCGATACAATATATCCTGACGTGGCCGTAAAATACACGACATTAGAATGTGATTATTACATTGCGTGTCTGTATTTATTTTTACATCGGCAAGTGTCATGCAGCTTTGTGCAATGTTGTTTGGGCCGAAATGTGCGACTGAAGATGAACGACGCGTGACGAAACGTCTGTGAGGTAAGTCGAGATTTACCTCTCGGAAAAATCAATCGTTTATTAAATTTTAAGGGGTTTTAACTCGGGAAGGGTGAAAAATGATTAATTATGCAAGAGATTAATTTTTTCAGCACCTTTAAAATTACTGAAATTCTAATTAAACATCAATTTTTTGAACTCCTTTTTTGCGTTTCTGACTGAAAAACGTGCCAAAACACTGAAGAAAAGCAATTTTTGAGGTAATTTTGTGTTGTGGCGGAAAAACCTTCGAAAAATGCTGAAATCGAGGCTAAATTAATGCAATTTGGACACAATTAAAGTTTTTTTTGAGGTAATTTTGCAAGACAATTGCGTTTCTGGCTAAAAAACATTTTACACCAAAAAAAAAAATTTCAATTAATTTTGAACTGATTTTAATTGAGGAAGGGCGAAGAATAATTAATTGTAAAAAAATTGAGCACCTTT